GTGAAACACTGTCGTGCTTTTTCATCTTCAGGTGACACACAAAATCACGGTTCTTCCTGCTTGCAATCTGTGCTTTGCTGAAATGCATCACAGTGAGGGCAAAGTTCAAATGGCCTGTGGGCACTGAACTCGGCACTCATCCAAGAGCGGGTTGAGACCCACCTCTCCAGGATGACCCTTGCTTGTGTAGAGGTCAGCTCGAAGTGCCTGGGAAGGGAGCATGAGAGGAAACTGCAGCTCAGTTTGCAGTCCCACTCGATGTAATCAGAGCATTTTGGCTTTTCAAGGGCTCACAGCCACTCTTCAAAAACATAAACATTTCTTCTTACAAAATTCCTGCTCCAAGCAGACTTTCAAATATTCTCTGATTAAAATTGCCAGGTTTATTTTGTTTGTACCATCTGTTAATGCAATCATGTAAAATTCTGATTTTTGTGTCAGTGAGTTAATTCTCTTCAGCGCTGAACCAAATGAGTCCGTAGACGCAGACATTGAACAAGAAATGAGCTGTAGCTAATGAGCTGTCCCAGGAAATGGCCGTGAGACGGGAACTGTCCACGAGCTCCACACACGATTCTGCCAGACGCGATTTTGGCCAATCCTCTCCACAACTGGTGTTTTCTTAGTAGTTTACAAATACAGTTCCTATTGCTGCTTGTCCATGTTCTCCCACCTAAAACTTACCTTCTGAATTCAAGTTTATAATGAAAATAATTTACCACATAGTGTTGGGTCCTTAAATCCCCTCAACCACAGGGAAGTTTTCAAGTGAATAACAGCTTACTAAACATACTGTGATTATATTGTTTCCTTGCAAATGGAGTAGCTAATATTTTTCCTTTTTGAATCTACTTGCTGGGTAATTTTTATGCCAATCCATAACTTCATTTGAAGAGCTAACCTGGGACTGTAAAACCTAAAAGAAAGGAAAGAAGAAATCATTTTCACCTTCTGTCTATCAGCACTAACCCTCTTAAAAGTGCCCTTTCAATCAAGGCATCCAAGAGAAGCTCAATTTCCTCAGCAAACGGAAGACTGAAAGGTCCAGTTTAAAAGGGTTACAGCTGTGAGGGAAAGAGGAAGATAATGGAGTGACCTGTGGCGACACCCCGAGCCCAGGGACACACAGCGCCACGCGTATTTATTGGGTCAGAGATATGCACGGATCTCAGTCAAATTGAAAAGCCAAGGAGATGGCAGGCTTTGGCTTTCTGCTGGGGGGGTAAGTACTGGAAATATTTTACTGCAAAGCAACTGAAACTCAGCCAGAGGGTTAACACTTAGCAGGCAGTCAGCAATGGCTTCGAGAAAATGGACCAAGATTTTCTCCATTGGGTTCCTCCAGCCTTGACAACAATGACAGCTGCGTTTTTTAAATAGCGTGATGGATTCAGATGACTCTGACAGTTTTACCTTAAAAATAAAATCGTGGAAGCATCCCCTAGAAAAATGGCTGGGGAAATATTTCATTAGAATGGTATAGAAAGCGCCTATAGATTGCCCAAAGAAAACAGAACCAATTTTCTGAGAAGATTGAATAGAAATATTGAATGGACCCATTCATTTAATACCCACAGAGTTCAGGTGAAAATTTAATTAAGAAAACTGGGCATGGAGAATAAGAAAAGATAAGAGGCACAAAATGGTCCTCTACAGTTTCCTGGGAAGGTCACAGTCCACTTTTTCCAACACAATGTGAAGTATAAGGTTAAAATGGGTTTTCAAAGACTTAGCTCTCCTCTGGAGGTCTCTCTTTAATGTTGTTTGCACAATTTATGCTAAAGGTAGATTTATGAACGCTATTAGAAAACAGATATTTCTCTTCTTATTCACAGAGAAGAACTTTATTATTTTGGTCTAGTCGCTAAGCAAAATTAAGCTTGAGTATGGGCTGTAAATTCTGTTATATATGTAATAGCATTGTATTCACTTAGAAATGATGAGGCTTCTGATTTTCAAATCAGAAAATCCCAGGGTCATATAAGACTTTTATCATTTCGTCTTATCCAGGCCTTATGGAAGTTTCACCTCTGTAATTCTAAGCTAATATGTTTACTCTTTCTGTGTAAAAAACGCCATCAGTTCTCTGAAGAGTGGAGGCTGGGATGCTGGTTGAGAAAGTGGTTTCTAGAATCAAACTACCCGAGTTTGAATTCTGGCTCTTTCACCTACTAGTGTTGAGATCTTGGGCAAGCTCTTCACCCTACTCAGCCTCAGTCACCCCATCTGTAAAATGGGGGTAACAATAGTTCCTACCTTGTAGGGTTGGTGGGAGGATTAAATGAGATAGTACATGTAAGTGTTCAGCAGAGTGCCACCATATAGACAGGAGAATCAACCCCTGCTATCTTGCAGAAGTTAAGACAAGACCACGATGGAGCTTAGCGTTGTCCAGCTGAGCTCATAATGGCGGTAACCTATTTCTCCATATCCTAACTTCCTCTCCATTTTCCTTGCCCCTAGCTTTCCAGGCCTTCCCCAAATTCTTCATGTGTTAAGTAATCTTCCTCTAATGAGCACAGAAGATTCTGGTCAATGCCAATTTTTTGAAGAATTACCTGCTATGTGCATTAAGCATCTCTTCACTTGAGTTCATTGAGGATTAATGCCCCACAGACCTTAACAGACAGAAAATGAGAGAACGGATATAAAAGACAGGAAATGGACTAATTGGGTAGCTGGAGGGATAAAGACAAAACAAAAAAAAGGAAAGAAACAGGAAGACTTGTGAAAACAGGTGAACTCATAGGTGATTCAGCTGCTCTTGGCCACAGGAACAATGTTTCCTAACATTGTTCTAACGGGAGCGTGGGTCCCTGAGATGGTCACCAAACAAATGGTTTCTTGGCCAAAAGAGTTTGTCCAAAATATTTCACAACTCATTTCCCTCTGGGAGTCTCAATGCACGTTAACATATGAAGGATTCTGAGAAGTACTGCAGTAAAGAAACCTGCTTTATTTTGTTTATCCCATAATACTGATCCATACATAACACTGATCATAACACTGATTTTGGAGGATCCTGCCAGTATTGTTATTTTAAAACTGAGAAACAGGAACTTCCATAAATAAAGAACACATTTTGAGGTGCTAATGAACCATGATAAAACTGATGGGAAGAAAAGTGGGGCTAACATTTAGTGAGTGCCTATTTTGTGTGCAAAAAATTGTGCTAACTGCTTTAAAAATATTTGCTCTTTCCTAATGGGGTAAAGGTAATGGTTTTTAAGTGGGAGGGATATTTACAGTGCTTTATGAAAGAACGTCACGGCACATATTAGCTGTCCTAAAGTGGTGCAAAATAGCTCTTCAAAAAATGAAGGATCTTGAGAACTCTCGTAGCCCAGATTCTTGCCTAATATGTACTGTTTTTGCACCTACTGAGAAATTTGGAGATTTTGTATTCTCTCTACCTCAACTCCTTGGAATGTAGCATTATATACAGACCTGTACATTAGTCCTGGTTCTGCCACCTGTTGGATATGTAATCCTGAGTAACATACTCCTCAGAGGCTGTGTAAATACTGGGAAAATAATAATATCTAACCTACGTTTGTGAGGGTTATACTCACAAACCACAAGCTTATAACAGCTGCTCAAAAACAAGCCAATCCCTTAATTTACAGTCCTTACTCTTGCATCCTTTGATCAAAATATTTTTCTCTTGCACAAATACTAGAACAATTTCTACGGAGTCCATAAAATAATGCATACAATTTCTACTTTCAACATCCACTAATTGTTATTTAAAATACCATCGTATTATGTGTGTGTGCGTGTGTGTGTATCAGCATATATTTAATCCATTTAATAATGTAGGTATATGAAAACTATATAAAATAGATGTTTATGTGTTGTTAAAGAGAAGAACTACGTTTTATTCTTTCTTTATATTCCCCCAAGACATCTATCGTAGCGTGGTGCCAGGTACATAGCATTTAGTGTGTCTTGTGAAATGAATGAATGAAAATAGTAGTGGTAAATTGCACTAAAATGATACTTATTTTGTACAATATAATATAACAAATGTAACTTAATAATAGGACATTTGCTCTGGGGAACAAGCCAGGATAGAGTCACACTGCGATTTTTAAAATTTGGTGCTAAATTTCTGATGCTCTAACAAACAGCCTATGCTCACCCCTGAATCTCAGCTGAGATGGGTACCAGAAAATTCACTAACAAGACTGCCACGTTAGAGAGAAACATAATTTTATGCAACTGGGTCTGGCTTCAATTCTTCTGCAAGAAATCTGAATTTCCCTTCGAGTGTTAATATGTTTGGTTTACTCCAACTTTTATTTCCTCTCTACTTACTGTTTTTCATCCTCATGCAACAGACAGTAAAAAGCTACTTCTTTTCTTTTTCTGAAATGTTTGTATATCATTAAGAGTGAAACATTGAGAGGTGAAACTGGGGTCAGGAAGGAGGGGATGCTGCACAATAACAGCTATTAATTTTGTGGAGAGCAACAGGTCTTAATTTAAGTTCTAAGTGTAGGCAGATGGACAAACAACAGCCATTAAAATAGGAGATTTCCCTTCCTTTCTTGTACACATTTGCCCATATAGGCAAGGAGACTGAATTGTGAGAGAGAGACTTGTTTATACTTGAATGAATAAAAATAGATCAAAATGAGTCAGAGACTGAAAAACACTGTTGACTGTATTTTGGGTATGTTTTCAGGTAGCATTAACAGAAACGGAAGTGACCTGTATTCAGGGCAACCAGATACTCTATCTGTCACACATCCCAGCCAACCTACCCCTTTCTACTATCATCGCCTCTCTCTTCTTAGCCGCTTTTCTGTGTCCTTCTTTTTTTTTTTTATTTACGTCTTGGTATTCCAACCTGGAATGTAGCATTTACTCCTTCATGATTTGAAAATATAATGACAGGTTTCTGATACGTTCAACACATCTAGATGTTCTCTGAGTCTTCTCAGAGATTACAAAGGGGAGGCTGTGTAGAATAAACTGAAGAGAGTGATCTCTTGTAGGAATGGAATTCGACTGTTGAGAAGCTGAAGAGCGAAGCACTTGGGATCCTGCTCTCCAAGGACCATGTGGAGAAAGAACACCTGCAGCTCTCTAACCAGAAACTGAATCAGCTTCAGGAAGAATGTGGTCGGCTCATGGTGGAAAGGAAAACCTGGTTGAAAAAGGCAAACGACTTTTTTAACAGCGCTAACAAGGTCAGTGTGAGGTCACGTTGGTAACTGTAGGTGATCAGAGCAGACCAGTAAGAGACCTGTCACTTCAAAAGACTGGAGCACGTCACGGAAGTCTAGATTCCACATAGAGTTTCAAAACTGATAGCAGCAAAAAAGAGCTTTTAAAATATATTCCCATCATGGCTATTATTTGGTTCTCAAAACTAAGAGACCTATGTTTTGACATGTAAAAGGTCACTTTAAAAAATCCCCCATGAGTTTTGTCTTAGAGCCATCATTGGTCTGTTTGTGATACTTGTGCTGACATTGTAGTGTTTCTCAACGATGAAGGGAATTATCATAAAATACATCAAGGTTAAAAAAAAACCTTGAAAGTTTTACCAAAAAAATCTTCCCCACTTTTTAATCCTCTTTCATTTGTCAGGTAAAGATTCATGAATATTGCAAGGCTTCTGCATGCAAACCATAAAGCTAGGAGCCGCGCCTTGACCTGACCGCCCTGCCTTGGTCTTGCTTTTTAAGTCAGCCAAAGGGAAACCTTGCTTTGGACTGTCTCCAGGTCTTCTTAAGCTGGAGAAGTGCTCTGTTTCCCCTGGTTGGTTCCTTCCGCATTGATTGTAGCAGGCGGCTCCTGCTGGGTGGTAATCTTCGCTTATTCACATCGCTTGAGTAGAGCTCGGTAGCTGAGGCTAGCGACCTAACCTGAAAATTTTGTCCACCTTTCCCAATCTAATATAAACCTTCAAAATGCCCTATTGTAATTGTTTAATACCTTAAATTTAATTGATGTGTTTAAGGTGACACGAAGTGAATAGGAACCTCCAGAAGCTAGATATATTGTGATTTCAAGCCACGACATCAACAATCTGAATACAATGTCCTGGTATACATCAAAACAGTTACTTAATTTTGGACTTTACTAATGGGAAACTTGAAGAGGATGAATAGTAAAATTCCAAAATAGAGGTGCCAGAATTACAGTAAAAAATGTTAAAGTAGTATTTATGTCAAATTATTTGTTGCTTGGGATTTATTTGTTTTAACAGAAGAAACAGATTTGGCCTACTGCTAGAGCTGTTGAATTTAGTCAACAGTGGGTGCTAGTTAAGTTTCTCTTCAACAATCATGTCGTTGAAGAAACAGCTTCTTAACTTACATCACGCCCTCATTCTACAAAATGAGTGGGTCATCTGCCAGTCAGTTATTGCTGTTTCTAAGGAAAACAGTTATAGAATATGTTATGAAAAAGCGACACTTCTAGCTCAAACCCTATAGTTTATAGGCCAGCAAAACGTAGAGTTTTTCTCTTTTTCCTTCTCACTCTCTTGCTCTTGCTTTCTCTGCTCTCATTATTTGGTAACTTGCCAGGGAGGTTTTTCTGCTGACAATATTCCTGAGCTTGAGGGAGAAAGAATGATATCTCTTGCAATAGTAATAAAAAAAATGAAGAACTGAGTGGTTGCTTTCTCAAACTCATACAGTAATTCAGATCAAATTGTAAGAAATTATATTTCTTAACCCCAAAGACTCGACTTCGAGGTCCTCTGTTTCATCTTTTGAATGCCATAGCATACAATTTATAAGTTCAGGGTTTATCCCTACTGTATTTATCTGTACTATAGCATTCCCGATAGCCAAGTGGCACTTAGAAAGGTGTAGAGTTGTTTCTCCTTTTCAAAGCATCAAGGAAATAATTTGCGACTCCAAATCTAAGAATTCAACAAAAATGGAAGAACTCAGCAAAAATGGAAGCTAGAGTTTCGAAAGTGGATGTTTAATCATAACTCTGGAAATAAATTGTTTACTATATTAGTATTAAGAAGCAATAAATGATGAAATAACCTAGTGGGTAAATCCATTTCAGTTAAAGAAGGAAATTCTTCTCAAGACTTGTAAATGGTATTTTTAAAAAGTTATATTGTGGACTCTCCAAATGTTACAATATTCTCACCACTTTACCCAGTTTTTGGCATAACACTCTTAAATAAACCTGGCTAAAGTACCGGATTTAAAAATTAATATAATTTCAAAATCCCTTAAAATATTTTTTTCTGGGCTGAAAGTTCTGTTTACATTAGTGAAGGGGTATTTTCAGTTTACATCATCAAGTTATCTTCAAAGCACTGAACTTTCCCTTTGAAAATTCCCTTTATTGTGCCTTGAGTGTGCTGGGTTTTCCTAATTGTGAATGTCCGCATCCCTGGATGAAGTCATGCTGCCGACAACTGTGAGGGTCTGGGATTTCACCCAACTTTCTAGCTAGTGATTAACTTTTCACATGTTCTAGCTGATGCGTCACAGTTTCCTGATGCTCACAGAAGACACATGGCTTCTGAATCAATTTTGAAAAACTTTGTTACTCACAGCAAAAGCAATAGCCAGAGTGTCAGCATGTTGTGACAGTTCCCCAAGCCCCAGGAGGCAATGCGGATGGAATTCCACGAGAGGAATCCTAAATTTGGGGAATCAGTTGTTTTATAGCAAACAGTAAGCAAGCCTGCTGTTTGTCTCAGAGGAAGATGTTTCCTCAACTCCAAAGATTGCTGACTGCAAACCTAACATGAGAAGTGACCCAGGTAAAGACGGGTCAGAGTCAGGGCCAGTATTCCTGGCATCCCAGTAAGATGGGTGGGAGCACCAGAGCCTCTCCCAACATACACAACTCGGGATGTTAGCACTGTGAGAAAAAGAGGAAGTCGGCACTTTAAAAGCAGATACTCACCTCAAAATTATTTTTTAGCAAACAGCCTCTTGTTTCAAATTTTTTAAAGCTAGGTCAATATTCTTCAATTTCTGTGTCAAATACCATGTGAAAAAATGTGTTAGTGTCATGGGTCATACATGAATGAGCAAACGTGACAGCTTGAATGTTTACTCAGTAAAAAGCATAATATATGACATAAGAAATAGCCTTTTACTTTTTTTTAATTTTGTTAAAATAAAAAGCAATAAATGTCATAATCTGGACTGCAGAATGGACTGTGGTTAGGGAGTTTTCCAGATCACAGACATTTCCTTTCATCCAGATTTTTATCATACATTTCTGATATTTTTGTTGCAATTATATAGAAATCTCCGTTTCCCCACACCCCCTTTCTTTGCATTTTCATTCCCTCCTTTCTCTCTACTAATTCTAGATGGAGATATTCTTATTTATTAGAAAAAAATCACAATAATTCCTTTTACTGAAGTTTCTGATAAGTAATGTGGCATATTCACGAGAATAATTACCCTTCTGCGTCAGGGATTCATTTATTTAATAAGTATTTATTTAGCAACTACAATGTGTCAGGCGCTGTTTTAAATGCTGGGGCTATAGGAGAGGACACAGCATCCAAAAATCTAAAAGCCAATATATTTCCAATTTGTGAAATTTGATAAAATATAATTATCACCTAATTGTCCACATTGACACCAGTGCCCCACTGCCTTTTCTCTGTGGCTTCAGGAGTGAAACTGATTACCTTTTATTCCTACCAGAGGGTGATGACTATCCAAGGGTCAAGAGTCTGTTTCTTACCCAGAGTGTCTACAGCCTTCGGCTTGAGGTGTGGCGGTTTGTACCTGGAGTGAGCAGTAGGTGGCGATGTTAGCCCACAGGACCTTAGGGGTATCGCTAGTGATGCACTGGATTCAAGTGAAGACTGAGCTACATATTTCAAGAACCTGAGATACTTTGTTTTTGTTTTAGAGTTGTCTCCTGTGTTTGGTGAACCTATTTGCTAAATCACTTAGCAACAAATAGAAGTAGGGGTTGATTGTCAACATTGGACGATAGCTGATTGGAGAAGAGTTTCTCTAAGTAGCAGATGTTGCCAAGAGTCATGAGGACATGACATGAAATATGAACAAAGCACCTATTAGAGTAACTCATCTTCATCTCCCCCCAATTTTTATCTTTCATTATTATAGATTATCTTATTTATTATATTTCTAGCATGTTCACAAAAAAGAAGCTCTAGTTAATATGCATTGATCACTTCAAATGTATTTATCATTGTTGAGGGAATGTGGTTTGAATGAGAGATAAATATATATAATATGTTTCAAGAGAAGAACAGTGTGAGCCTGTATTTAAAAGACAACGATGATCAAACCCAAAGCTGTAAAACGTGGTTGATTGGTCAAAATTTCCTATCCCATGCTTTCCATCCCCAGGCACATGATTCGATTGGGGAAAACCAGTGGAGGAGAACGAGGCCAAATCTACACGGTCTGGTTCTTGGGTAGTTAGCGTAAAAGCAAAGGTGGAGCAAAAGTTGGGGCAGCCAGAGGAATACACCAAAAGCAGTTTGAAATGTGACGATTGTCATAGCTTCTACTGCTTCGCCCATCGCTGCTGAACATTTAATGTCTTTTAAAAAGATGATGTTGCTTTTTCAAATATTTACAGTGATGCAAAAGAGTAATGCCTACAGCAACATAATTATTTTAGAAGAACACGAAATAATTAAACATGGAGTTTGGTACTTTTTTTTCATTTATATGTACTCTATTGTACCATTTTCAAAATAGATACATTTTAGCCCAGATATGGGAAACAATTAATTAAAAGGTGTAGTTATTGTACAAATTGAAAGAAGAAAGCTGTCCAACTATAGAACCTAAAACATATTATCCAGAAGGAATTTGTTGAGGTGATATAAATGAATTCAAGAAATTAAGCTAATTGTTATTAGACACAGAGGAAAGTGTAATTATTTTCAGTTTCAGAATTCTTAAGTAGCCTGTCTTAGATTTCTCTTTTCCAGAACAAGTTCCCTTTCTCTCAGAAAGAACTAAAGCAACTTGCCTTCACTCCCTCCCTTCTTCCGCATTTGCATTCAGCAAATATGTTGTATACCTGCTGTTATCATGCATCATACTGGTACTTGAGCTAAAGCAATGCTAGGTATAATCCTTGCCTTCCAGACCCTCTGAATAGTTTAGAGGAGAGACAAGGAAACAGAAGTGCTGTGCGCTGTGGGAAAAGCCATGATGGAGGAAGCTAGAGCATTCAGGAGCACAGAGAAGAAGGCTCA